TTTAATTTTAAATATTTTGTCAAGCATTTGTTTCCTAACAAATACCAAACATTAATTTTTAACTTAAAATATTTTTATAGTTAAATGATTACATATTTATTTAACTTTATAAAAAAATGTATATGTAGAAAAGAGTTACAAGAAGTAACCCTGCACCCTTGTAAACATAAAGTTGGAGTTAATTGTGCTGAGATAAATAGGGAAAAAGCATTTGTTGCACCCAAATGCCCAGAATGTGACGAATACATTAAATATTTTGATATAGATGGTACGTTATCAATTAGTTTTCCTATCTAAACTTCTATTTGTGGGAATTAAAATAATATATCCATAATGATCAAAAAAATAAAATATCTACCACCCATTCAGAGATTATACAAATATTCAATAAGTATGGAAAATTATTTCTATTTTTCTAATTATTCGTAACAATTTACATGACTTATATTGTCTATTATTAATGATTAATTAATTANCAATTTACATGACTTATATTGTCTATTATTAATGATTAATTAATTATAATGACTTTATATTGACTATTTAATAATCCTATTAACGTTCGACATCTCATTTGAGTAACAATGCAAATATTTTTTAATGCATTAATTGTTTATTAATATAATTTGGACCGAAAATATAACAAAATATGACTAGGCATATTTATATAATACACATAAATTTCATATAATAGTTGACATTTATAATATTCAATATTTAAAAGAGAACATTATTTTTACTCATCTAAATACTTCTTTCTTTTGTTTATTTCTAAGAATTTATAATATTGTTTGATTACAATAATAAATCAATTCTTTGTTACAGAGTAAATTATTTCTCAAAATTAAAATTTTTATAATTCTTTGAGCAGGCCCAAATAATGGCAACGCGTTAACATGTAAATTTTGATTGGCCAGTTTTAATTTTATTTTAGGTACTTTCATAAAATTCATTTATTGAACAAATAAAATGTATTTGTTCATTATTTAATAATGTCAAAGTTGATTTGTCATTTTTTTTGAAATAAATGTATAAAATATATACTGACTGAAATATCATCGTTCGCCTCTTTCTATGAATATTTAAATTTTACCAAAAAATACAGATAATAAAATGGACAGTACCAATAACTAATATCACTTGAGTGGGGTACAAGGCCGCTTTATAAATTGTGCCGCTCGTAGTAATCAAGTCAACTGTCTTAATTGCCTTTTAATTTTGCACATCAAAAACAATTATATACAAAGCGATCTCAGCACATGGCAATGCGCCAGACAAAGTTCTAGCAATGTTGATGTATCTTTACACAAAAAAATTCTGCCAGTTTTTCTAATTATGCTAAAAAAATAATTTTTGGAATTTTTTAGTTTCTTATATATTTTGATTTATCAATCATGATGGACTTTTATGTTTATCTCTTATACCTTACAATAATAATGATAATAGTAATAAAAATAATAATATGATATATTTATTTATTTTTACCAAAAACACATAATAATGTCAATTATATTTTTTCAAACGGCATCATACATAATTAATTAGCTTAACTATTGGATTAATTCATAAATGACTGACCAATAACAATTTTTGAACCAGTACTTCTCAAGTTATTAATATTTTTATATCTAGGAGAGATGATTGATATGGCAAAGAAATGTCTACCTGCACAATAGTATATCTTTCAGAATTTTATTAAAAAATTAAAATATATAATCCTACACGATTAATTTAAAGCAAAAATTAATATTATAATTAATTACATTTATTACTGTTATATGACTGGTACTAATTTAATTATAGTTTCCATATTCTATCTCCATAATTGGTACTACCAATTGGATTTTATTTGAAAAAAGTTTAGTAACCTTATTTAAATACTTACATCCTCACTTTATCTTAAGATGTTGGACTAGAAAAAATTTCCATTTAAGCATTTTTGAGTTTAGTAAACCTAATAATCTAAGGAATTTAAAACCAATATATACCATTTTATAAAAAATTTTAAAAGAGACTGGAATAATAATAAAAAACACAACGCCATCATCAAACACTCATTTTTATTAATAGCTCTAATGGCGTTCCACAAAAAAACATTTTCGAATTTTCTAAATTCTGAAAAATAACTAGAATTCATTATTAGTAAAAAGATTAAAAGTAGTAAAAAGATTTGTCAACTACAAACTTGTCATCACTATTATATACAGGGTGTTCACTAAGTCAGGAAACGGGTATCTATTGTTCTCATTGTTACAAACAATACATTGTAATGGTCCTCTAGTAAATTTATTTGAATCAGCCCATTATGTTAAATCTTGGATAAGCAAAGGTAATAGGTCAACTGACGATGTATGATGTCTAAAGAGAAATGTAAATAATGAAGAACATACCTATCAAAATATGTAATTAATTTTGAATAAAAGCAAAGATTAACTTTTTTATTTAATAAAAAATTATTTATTTAATAATAAATTTATTGACTGCATATAATATGCACTTGTGGATACGCTGTTTTTTTTTTTGCTTGTTTTCCGACTAAATATAGTAATAAGTAAAAAAAAAAGGTTTTCAAAACGCTAGGGACGCAGTTTTCAAATTGTTAGGTTGAGCTACCCTACGTATTTTTTGCCAATTCGAGTACTGAACACATGTACTAAATATCACATATATATGAATAAAGCAAAAAATCATTTAAGGAAGGTTTCCCTTTTAGGATAATCAAAATAACCATTTATCAACACATGTTTCAAAGCAGTCCCATACAATTCATTAACTACGCCCATGTCAGGGTTTCTATTATAATTAACCAATCACAAATAATTATCTAACATCTTAGGAATTTAAATAGAGATCGCTAGCTTACTTTATCCGGCATATAAAAAAAATAGATGATGGTCAATATTCTCTTACATGGAATCTGCGTCAGTATAAGTAAATATTTTGTCCTTATGACTTAGTTTTTTTTTCTGTCATATCATCCTAAGTGGTAAAAATTGTTTTAGAGGATTTATTAATATTTTACCCAGGAATAAATCTTATTTATTATTATTATTACCTAATATCTTCACAAGAAATAAATATAGTTTGTATTTTATATAAAAATTTTAAATATTATTGTGCTCTTCATTTCTGGATAGCCTTAAAATGTGCCGAAAAGAGTGAAGAAGCGTAATTTGTGATTAGAATTAATTAGTCTTAGTAGTAATACCATTGCCTGTTTACTCAACAGCCATAAGGGACTACGCCAATTACTTTCCGGTAATGTGCAGGCAGTTAAGGTACAGAGTAGTACTAAATTTATAAAAAAGAATATTTTTGAAGTGCGCTATATCTGTCGACAAGCCAGTTCTAGAACAAATATTAATTATAAAATATATAGTCCGTAAGATAGGAAACTACATCTTGGAAATATCCTCTGCGTGTGTACCCGCCAGCCATAAAGGACAATACCAATTACTTCTTGGTAACGCGTAGGCAGTTGGCGTAACGGATAGTAAAAGATGTATTGAAATAATATTTAATATATATAAACTAGGTTAACTGTGTCCGCGTCAGCCAAGGCTTTACGCTGAGAAACGCTGGGCTACTACAGTCTTGTTGATTATATTTTAAATATATGTAGACATATTTTTATAATTATATTTTGATAAGTTCAGAGTAAATTTTAAGAATATCAATATCGATTATAGTGAATTCATCGAAAATATTATTAGTAAAAAGATAGTATAATGTAAAAAGAGTTTAAAATAATATGAAAAAAGGGTAACGAAGGGTTTAATAGACGCAGGTCGCATTGTAGAGAATCTCTTCTTAAATACAAAATGCACACAAAAGCTAATTAATCAAAATAAACGCAAGACACTATAAATGATTGTTAACACTGAAATAAAAAATCGCCATGAGATTAACTTAGTCAATTACAAAAGGATATAAGGGTAAGTGCGAATATATATTTGCATGCTTTACTTCTTAAAAAACTCATGTAATAAACAAGAATAATAATAAGTGAGGTATAGTAACTCAATAAAAGAAATGTAATATTTAATTGATGATAAAAATGATTTATTAAAATTAGTTAAATTGTTGGTCTTGTATGAGCATGAGAATAATTGAGTTACTATAATATTTATTTTATAAAATGATATAATATATTTTTCTCTCGGAATATGAGTACGAGGGTTTATGAGAATATATAAAATATAGAAAAAGCAAAATGATGTTTAAAAATTTATCAATATAATAATAATTTTAAATAAAAATTATTGTGATAAATTATCATACATAGATATCAACAACGCCACTCGTACCAGTAGTTATTTAGGCCAATGCTGACTGTGAGTCATGTCAATAAATACCTCGAGTAGTATAAGAACCAGAAGTGGGTTCCCTGTCTTCGCAAGAGAGTCTTTATTAGTATTGACGACACAGACAACCCACTCAAAGATTTGACTAGGCTGGCTAACTTCATACAAACGTTATTGATTCTCTTATTTATTTAGACAATATTTTACTCTAGAGGTCACTTTATTTTTCTAGTTCCCTACTTAATTTATGTACTCATTATGCTTTAATTTAAACCTTATAAATCTTCTGTGAAATATGAATTTTCCTTAATGATGTCAGGATAAAGGTTGGAAAAATGAATATACTTCAATTTTCTATGTAAAATCGTAATTGTCAAGCTATTTCTTGCTTTCCTTGATAGTTCATAAGGTGAAGTAGTAGTGAGAGAGATTGACAGTTTTTATGCCCTTTTATATTAAATTTAATACATCTATCTATGCAAGAAGTGTCACGATCTTTTACCATTATCTGTTTATTACTCAATTGTGTTATTTATTACATAATATTTTACTTAAAATAGATAATTTATCACAACTAAAGAATTTCATATAGTTATTACATAAGATTTGTATCGCCATATTTCTCGAAATTATTTAAAGTATTGACATGAATAATATATTTTTAATTTGATGACTAATAGACAATAATATATAGACTACTGATTAATGAGTGGTGTATGTATTATAACAGAGGTAGGATATTTTATTATTTGATAACTAAATATAGTTCGACCCCGAGAAGCCAATACCATCTGCTATACATTTTTGTTTATTAATTTTGTAATATAATAAATAGCTTAAAATTATTTATAATTACTAGAACTAGTATTTATATGTATTTATAATTTTTTTTTAATCATTCTCCAATACCATTTTAATAAAATCTGTAACAAAAAATTAATCATTACGTAAACAAAAATTAAACCAATTAATTCGAAGTTTAACTAAATAATAGAAAAAAATTTTAACTTATACCACCTTTATCTTAGCTGTATTATGTTATATGGAATAGTTTTACGAAGCTTAGAAAACATATGAACCAGAATATATTTTGCATCCTATATATTTTACCGTAATATAAATATTTGGTATGTATTTTATACATACAAATTTAATTTTGATGATTTTAATTATAATTATAACGTTACGAAAACGATTTTAAGACCTGATCTGAATGCACTTAATTAATTGAATTGTTATGATTTAATTGCCGTCAATGCTCGTTTACAATAGTATTATGTATATACAAACGATATTTTTTTTATCATACCCACTCAATTACTTACAGAATAACAATAATTATAACTTTTGTTTTTTTTGTAACTTTTAATTATACGATACTTATTATAATCTCAAGGTGTTATATATATATGTGGGTACCATTGGTGTCTAGATGGCACCACTTCCAGAGTCTGGAGATAGATAGTGGTATCATTATAGTGGTATCAAGTATTATAAGAAGGGAAAATTAAGTAAAATATTAATATAAGATATTAATAAGGAACTAGCAGATCATGTAGCTTTTGGAATAATACTCCAATTTTTTTAAAATTAAACACTATCTAAAGATTTGCATCGAAGCGTTTTATTTTGATAGTGATTTTAATTACTGTCAGATATCATTATACTTGATCCAACTATGCCTCGTCACCACTGTGCCACGACCCCCCTTTGCTAGGTTTTTTTATACTTTTATTTTACCAACATGTTTTCCTACAAAGTTGATTCTATAGTTTTTTCCTTCATCTTAATATTATAAAAGATACACGTAAAATACTATATTTCTACCCCTTTACGTCATTTTTCAACCCCTTTGAGGCACGTGAAGGAGTTGACCTAGAATACTCAAATTTTACGAAAAATTTTTTTTTATTACATAGACAAAATGCGGGGTTAAATTTTTTTAAGTTGGTCAATTAAGGAACACCCTAATATATATATTATTATAATTTCTTTAAAGGAATACAAATTAATACCTAAGGAAAATATAATCTAACCATCTAAATTTTTAGACCCTTAGAATACTGTTAACTGGTTTTTAGGGTCAACCACTATCAAGGGGAGGTCACAGTGATAGGAGTCACTGATTTTCATAAAATTTATATAAATCTAATCTATATTGAGTACAAAATTGGAGATATTTTGAATTTTTTGCCAATGCCCTAATCGAGAAAATTGACTTTGAAAATTTTTAAATATCTTAAATAGGGTGATTTTTCTACTACAGACAATAATGTATTGTGGTCGAACCGAGATTACGTGATCTTATGATGCGTACGGTTTTGAAATCAAATCTCCTAAGGTAGTGAGTTTTTTTGCATTTTTTTCCCTAAATTTTTTCACGGTATTCTCTTTGAATTATTAATTTTACGTAATATTTGTCATTTTTTTTTACATTTTATGCATGTATAGGTTGTTCAGTAAGTTATAAAACAGGTAAATTGTTAAAATCAATGAGAACAGTGAAAACCCGTTTCCTTACTTACTGAACATTCTGTATAGTTAAACATTTCTCTCTCAATTTCTCAATCTCTCTCATTTCAAAATGTATATACTTTTACCGGGTTAATATTAAAATAAGTTATATTTATGTGCATAAAGTATTACTTTATTTTATCACTAAAAAATCGATAATTTATACCATCAAATGTGTTTTGAATGTAGATAAAACTGTATCTTATTATAAACTATATATATATATTACGTAAAATTAATAATTCAAAGAGAAATCCTTGATAAAATAAAGAAAAATTTCACTACCTGATGGGATTCGAACCCGTATCCTTCGCGTCACAGGATCACGTACTTTCCATTCGACCACAACAAATTATCATTGAATCCTTGGTAGTTTCTCTATAAGTGACTATAAATTAAATAGAAATACTCAGTACCTAAAGGAGATATAGCCTAGACATCGACCCTCTATTGTTCCCTTAAAATAATGTTGATAGGGCTTTAGGGTAAACCCCTAAATAGCGATGTAACAATATACATACAAAAGTAGAAATTTTACGTATAAAAGAGTTGTGCGATTACAAATACAGATAGCCATATGTTTTTTTTTTTGAAAAATTACCCTATGTAAGCTCATTAAAAATTTTCAAAGTCAATTTTCTCGACTTAGGGAAGGCATTGGCAAAAAATTCAAAATACTTCATATTTTGTATTTAATATAGATTTTTAAATTTATATTAATTTTGTGAAAATCGGTGACCCCATCACTGTGACCTCCCCTTGTAAGTAGCGACGTAACAATGTACATATATAGTAATTGTGAGATTACAAAATTAGGTAGCCAATCGTTTTTTTATGACGCCACTATGCAGATACTCAGAATTTATTGTAAATTAATACTCTGTTCACAAATTTATTAATGATGTCGCTATTTGCATTTATGTTAAATTAAGACTTTGTAAACAGATATGTTTAAAGTGTTTTAATAATTTACTAATAAATATAATTAAATATAATAATTTAATATCTAATAATTTACGACACATAAAAACATAACTCTACCGGGCTGCGTGGCTGTGGCAATGATTTTTTTGCAATTCTTCCTTAATTCTTTTTAAGTTAGAATTTTGCTTTTGATAATCTACCAATTTCTTAAAATTAAGCATCATCTACAGATTTTCATCGAAGCGTTTCTTATGATAGTGACTTAAATCACTGTCAGATATCATCTATATTTGTCCCAACTATGCTACGCTCACACTGTGCCGAAACCTCACTGTTCTATTGCCTTTTTTTTTTTGTTTTTAATTTGATGGAAACTAATGTTTTTTATAAGAATAAAACACTTCTATTAATCCCAATACAAAACAAAGCTTATATTATCGTTCTATAATTACAATACAATACATTAATATTAATTCTCTCATAATAAATATATATTTATTGTACTTAAATATTTTTCAAATTTGTCATATTTTGTAAAATAATAAATTACATAATCTCATAAATAATATTACGATTATTTTTAAATCGCAGACTAATATTATTTATCATTTTCTTCATCAGCATCCAATATCATTTTAATAAAATCTGTAACAAAATATTAATCATTACATAAACAAAAATTGAAACAATTAGTTCGGAGATTAAATAAACAATAATAAAAACTTGGAGTTATACCACTTTACACAAATATAAATATTTGTAACGTGTCATGTACGGATTCCACAAATGCCAATTCACTTTGTACCTTTATCGCGACTATTACTCTTATTATTTTAAATTAGCTACTATCGAGATAGTGAATGTGTGTGTCGCCGTCAGCTTGATTAAATTATTATCATCTTTACATCTATCTTTTCATGATTACTGTGTATACATATGATGATAGTGTGTATACATTACAAACTTGGCATAAATACCATGATAAGAAATTAGATAAGGCAATTATTACTTATCACTCTCATTCAAAAGTATATTGAAAAGATAGCGTTTTCTTCTGTCCTTTTCTCAATACGTATTTCAATGTTTA